AAGCTCAGAAAATCCCTTCGCCTCCGCTCTGGGGAACTGGGGCTGAATTAGACTCATACAGCACAATAAGGGCCGTGGTTTTAAGGAGCTCGAGGAGGGTTTTGCCTCAGAGCTGACGGGGGAAGCGCCTATGAATTGTAGCTTCGTATCCGACCCCCCTTTCCTGAAGGTTTAACTTTGGTTTTGCTGATTTCCAGCCTCTTTTTTCCCCTCCTCAGCCTCTCTCTATCCCAGGGGAGCAGCAGACCCCTGGTCCCCTCCATTGCACCTTCCCTCTGGTCACCTCCTGCCGCCCCCACGAGCTATTTCTTCAGGCCTCTGCTTAGTGAAACTTTTAAATAAGATTTTGAGTTTTCCCCCCAGTTTAAATATTTACAAAAAAAACCCCAAAAAACCTGACTTAAAGAAATCCCAAGAATAAAACCCTCTTAGTTCCTGGTGGGAGCACGTGCTGGGTGGAAGATGAACACGGCTGCCAGCAGTTACCCGATGGCTTCGCTGTACGTGGGTGATCTGCACCCCGATGTCACCGAGGCCATGCTCTATGAGAAGTTCAGCCCCGCTGGCCCCGTGCTCTCCATTCGGGTCTGCAGGGATATGATCACCCGCCGGTCCCTCGGGTACGCCTACGTCAACTTCCAGCAGCCAGCAGATGGTAAGTGACATACACGACCACATCTACATCTTTTTATTTTATTTTTTTACTTTTACTCACTTTTTTTCTCCCAATCCATGCTGCTGCTTGTGTGTTTTGCCATGTAGCTGCCTGCCAAAATACTACAGTTACAGTCTAAGTAATGACTTGCTAGTGATTGAAGCTGGAATATTTTTTTACTGCTTATTATCTCCAAAATACTCTACAAATGCACATCTGGGTAACATCTCTGATAGACCTGTTTCTCTCTTACTGAACTTAAACTTTGAAAACTTGGGTTTGTTCCAGCTCATGCAAGTGAATCATCTCCACTGTTTTCTCCTTCATTCTCGTGCAGGTTTGGGCTGTTTGTGTGGGTCTTCATACAGTCAGTCCTGGCAGGAAAAAGTTCAGAGTGGTCAGCCCAGGTTGAATGTTCATCTTGCCTGGCTGAGCCCCGGGCTGCCCACCTGCTCTGATTTAATCTTTGGGAGATCTGATGGACTGCGGATTGCTGTGTTTGTGCAAGCAGCTGGATGGGTCTCCCTGTCTGGGAAGTGGTATTTTTGTATTAATAGGAAAGAAGATGGATTGCTTAATGCATGGAAAACCAGATTGTCTAACATGCAGAAGCCAGGTTGATTTGCTTTTGCCAGGCTCATTTTTTTCATACTTTGTTTCCTGCTCAAGTTAGTATTCCAAAGCTGAAGCAGCAGTATCATGTGGAAGATGGGACAGAAGAGGTCATTTTGGAACATGTCTTTTCTGGAAGAAAAATGGGTCAGCATTTTGTGCCCTAGTTTTCAGAGTTTTTGCTTGTTGCCTGGTGCAAGTTTCTTGCTCTGTGCTGTGATGGAGCAGTATCTGTATGTGATAGATGAATGAACTTTCCCTTTGAATTCAGAATCAATTCACAACAGCACAGATATCACCAGCAAGTAAACTTTCCTGTAGCCTGTAGCAGACCATCCTGCTTTACATTTGTACAGTTGCACAGGGTAAGATATAGACTTTGAATCGAAGCATTTGTTGGATAGAAAACAGGAACATCATTACAAAATTGTGTCCCTGCATGGTAGCAGAGTCTCTGGGATTGAGCTCTTGGCTGGAATGTTTGGATTTTACCTAGTTTGTTGTGACTGTATGCCATCCCAGATTCCATCCTCTCCCAGGTCTGGGTACCTTCTGCATGTCCTTTCCTTGGGATGCTGACTGATCTGATTGAGGACTTCTGATCCTTTCTCATGCCAGGCTGAGGAAAAGCTGGCTTGCACCCCAGTGCATAATTTCTCATTCATGGATCTCTGAGAAATGTTTTTTTTATACAGAATAAGCCATGTATTAATGTGTGTTAAAACTTGCCAGTGAGCAGGAAAGAACTTCAGAGCCTGTATCTGTGGTCCCTTCCTGCTCTGATGAACGTGTCTGCTCTGACTCCCTCTCGTAAAGCCACCTTGATGCGTTCATGTGCTGCACACTTATCCAGGCTCACCTGCCTTTGTATAGGCTATGGTCTCATTTTTTTAGGATGAGAGACGTAAAAACAAGCAGCAGAAATAAAGCCAAGAAGGAAATTGGAGTTCAGATTAGATAAATGTTGGGGAGATGGGGTGCAAAAGTATAGAAAAAGTTATCTTAAAGTAAAGACAACCTGTGTCATGTGGAGTTCTGATGTTAAAAGGGAAGAGTGGCTAGTCACACGTGCCTGCTTTAGCAGAAAGAAGTTCTGCAGCTTGTACCAATACAAGGACAGGTGGCCTTCCAATATATTCCAAGGTAATCTTTTATGGTAATAAACAGGCAGGAATTTAGAGGGAGGTTGCATCATTCTGGGCTCCTGGTGAGGCAGCAGACATTTTAGGAAGTCCTGGTACTTCAAGTGATACTTTGACAAAGTAAGTGGTGTCTTGTTACTGGTAGGTCTTAGAAGGTCAAGTGATTTAAACCTAATCATTGAGTTAATATCAGGAAGGAGAAATATTCAAACTACTTCTGCCCTCATGAAGAGATCTCTTCTGAAATGCTCCTAATTTTGTCTGTCTGGCAAACTGCAGCGTGTGTTACTTTGCATAAGTAAAAACCAGCTGCTGAACTAAATGTAATGCAGCAGAACACAGATAATTTTGGGAAGCTGAGCCCGTTGGTGGTGTGTTACAGTTTCTCTGAAGCAAAGACTTGAATATGAAGAATACAATTTTGATTGTCAAATGCAGAAAATTGGCTTTTATTCCCAAAGTGGCAGTACACGGTGCTGCCTGCATGAGGGCTTTCTGAGAGAAGGGGGGATCTGTATTTTCTTCCAGGAATGCATAGTCAGAAATGCATTTGGGCTTCATTTTACTGAAGTCTGTGGAAAGATGAGGAGCTCTGTAGCACTGTCAGGATCTGTTTTGATTTATGGGTCACAGTAGAAGCTGAGAAGTGCCTCATGAAAATAATGGGGAAGCTTTGAGCTCTGAAAGCTTTAGGGGAAGTTCTTGTGGGCACATTGTTAGTATGCTTGTATGCTTGTAGGTATTAAAGAAGTTGATATGTGATAGTTTGCATTTCCCTTTTGTGGAAGGATGAGTGCTTCATAAATCTGAAAAAAAAAACCAACCCAGTTTTAACTTTTTTTCTGTGGGCAATAAGACGTGGGCCATATGACTAGAGAAAGACCATAGAGCAAGTCAAGTAGCCAGAACTCTTGCCCATTACATGGGGCCACCAGGAGCTCATGCTGTCACATCCTGAATGTACTCTGTACTTCCAGGGTTTGTGTCCAAATTGATTCAAAACTTTGTGGTTTTTCTTTATATTTTTGTTAGTTAATGGAGTGCTGCTTGATCTTGGAAGGGGTTGCTTTCAGGATGTGCATTGTTGAACTGGTAGTTTGCTGCAGAGAGGTTATTTTTAGTGAAAATAAGCTCTGCTGTTTTTAATTGCAGTTCTTTGTCATAATAACCAGTGAATGCTGAATCTGTCATAGTTTGATAGACAGATTAAGGAACTGCTTCAAAGTTCTGGCTAGTTCAGGCTCAGCTGTGGTTGTTAATATTTATTCTTTTTTTGTCTGTGAAGAAGGGAAAGAAAACAAACTCACTTGATTTGAAAGAAAAGCTGAATTTCCTTTTTCATGTGTTCCTCATACAATTTAATTGCATTCCAGGGTTTCATAACGTTGACAGCAGTCATGATGCGACAACTCAGATAATGAAGCAGAGAAACTTTCATATGGCTAGAGAGATAAGCTGTTCTGGAAGTACAGAGAAAACAGCACATTTCCCAAGCAAAGAAGGAGCCCAGAGTGAGGATTAGATAAATGTCTTTGAAGAAACGTGTAGAAGAGTATAGATAAACTTTTTTTGTCTCTTTTCTTCCTTAAAGAAGAGAAGACAATGTCAGAGAAGACCTGGATGGTGTAAAGGCAGGTGTGAAGTCAAAGGGAAGAACAGTTACTTACAACAGCATTTTATTCTGACTCTGGTCAAGGGTTTTAAATTTCTTCTGTATGCAACCTCTCCTTCTTTAAAACAAGTGGTTAAATTTGTGCTGTGTGCTTTTGTCGGGTCTTTTTTTGCTTAGTGATGTAAGTGAGAGCCTGGAGGTTTGCAGTGCAGCCACCTTTGCAGAATAAAACTCCTTGTGTGGAGTTTCTCATGGGTAAATCTTGGTGTGTGTGTGATTATCTGTCTTTATGCTGCTCAACTACAGTTGCTAATTCCAGCATTGTGTTAGCTCTGCATCATGAAGCCTGTAAGGGAGATTAATTACTTTGAGGCCTAAGGCAAGCTGCAAGGAGTGTTCATCTGCTTTCCTGATCCAGAAGACTATGGAAGAGGAAGCCTGAAAGGGGTTAAGAGTGTGTATGATGTTATGTATGAGTTGCAGTTGAATCTGCTGGAAGGATGACAGGAACCAGTGGGAGGGAAATAGATACAGGAACTGAAATGGCCAAAGCTTTGTGGCTTAAATAGAGGAAAATGAGAAGGTGTTTGCTCAGATTAAGGAAATGAATCAGATGCGCCCAGTCTGAGTCATTCACATAACTCATGCTGATCCTTTACAGGTTCTCTTAGGAACTGGTGTGATGTGGATGTATTTCTACCTGTGAGCATGGGAGACTTTCCTCAAATCAGGGAATCCATCGAGGGCTTTCTTGCACCACTGCTCACGAGAAGTATCTGAGTGAATTTCAAGCAGACTCTAATAACAGGGTGGAATACTAGCAAGTTATTGAAAGAGCAGTGCAATAGTATCTGCTTAGGAAGCTTGAAAGAGAGCTGGGAGTAGGTTCATAGCTGGTCTCTGTCTTGGTAGCTACTGCAAGAGTGTTTCACAGTTCCCTCTGGTTACATGCCACTGCTTCATCTGCTTGTCACCTTTCAGCAGGAGCCCTGTTTCTGCTGCAAATGGTATATGCAACTAGTTTGTGTCCATGCCAACACATGCTTCTGGAGGACCTCTCCCTGCTATAAATAAACACTGCCAAATTTGACGAGCTGGACCAAGTTGCCTGCTGAAGTGCCTCCTAGGAATGGACTGCAGGAAGAACCTCAGTTGCATTGATTCAGAGCAGCAGCTGAGGATCATTTTAGCATGGCAGTTAATTGCATTTAACACCTTTGACTAAACACAGCTAGTAGAGTTGTAGCAAGTATAACTTTTCTCCTTAAATTCTTTTCTCTTTATTTACAAGCCTGACTACTTCAGGAATGAAGTCCATAAGAGCTTGTTTTCGAGCTTGTGAAGGACGGGGGGAAAATAATGAAGGCACCACTTCAATTTAAAAAGCAACAACAGCAAAAAACATTTTCAAAGCACATGAAAAATGCTGAGAAATGTTCATGCAGTACTTAAAACTGACTTTGGAGGTGGGGAGTGCAGGAGACTTTTGTAGGCAATATCTCATTGGAGTTCCTGGAGATAGTTTCATGAAATGCTGAGTAGTTACTCTAGTTGCATTAGGAGTCAAATGAAAGGAGAAGGAATTTGAAATGCCATTTTCCTTGAATTTGCTGCACCTGAAATCTTAATCAGCAAATATCACTGGGTGAAGGTGGCCTGGAAGAATTGAGACAAACAAATTTGGAAAACTTGGGT